CACATATGACCTAGATTACAGAGTATGTAGTATATGTATGTGTTAAAGAAGAAAAACCATAAAAATATTTCAGTATATGAAAAAAATATGACAAATATTTATATGATGTATGTAATATGTATAACATATTAAAAATGTAAATATATATCTGGTAATGTAATGAATTGCTGGCCCTCTCTGGTTTACTTTACTCGAGTTCATTCATAGTGTTTGCTCTGTGGGTGGTTTTGAGGGGGACAAGATTGGAAAAAGGAGTTCAGTTAGGAGGCTACTGAAGTGAATAGGTGAGAGATGATTGTGGCTTGGGGTTGGTGTGGTAGTAATGGAGATGGAAAGAAACAGTCAGTTTTAAGATATATTTTGGATTTGCTGATGGACTGGATATGATGTAGCTGTAGGGAGCAGATGGAGAATAAAGAGAAGGGGAAGACTCAAAGATGAGTTCCAGATTTCTGGTTTTAAATTTAAAAAAAAATTGTGGTAATATACACATAACATAAAATTCACCATTTCAACCCTTTTAAAATTACAACTCAATGGCTGTAAGTACATTTTAAGTACATTCACATTGTGCAACCATTATCACTGCCCATCTCCACAACTTTTTCATCATCCCAAAGTGAAACTTGATTCATGTTAAACAATAACTATCTATTGTGTCCTTCTCCTGAGCCCTGGCAAACACCATTCTGTTTTCTTTCTTCATGAATTTGACTATTGTAGGTTCTTCGTGTAAGAGGAATGAACAATATTTGTCCATTTGTTACTGGTTTATTTCACTTAGTATGACATCTTTAGGTTTCATTCATGTTATGGCATGTGTCAGAATTCCCTTCCTTTTTAGGGGTAGATAATATTTCATTGCACATATACACATTTTCTTTATCCATTCATCTGTTGATGGACACTTGAATGGCTTCTACCTCTAGCTATTGTATTGTGAGTAATGCTGCTATGAATGTGGGTGTGCAAATCTCTCTTCAAGTTTCTGCTTTCAGTTATTTTGTGTATATAACCCAGAAGTGGAATTGCAGATTGTATGATAATTCTGTGTTTAAGCTTTGGAGGAATCAGGGAAATGCAAGTTAAAACCACAATGAGATATCACCTCACACCAGCAAGGATGGCCAGCATCAAAAAAACTAATAACAACAAATGCTGGCAAGGATGCAGAGAAAGGGGAACCCTCCTACACTGCTGGTGGGAATGTAAGCTAGTTTAACCATTGTGGAAAGCAGTATGGAGGTTCCTCAAAAAACTAAAAATAGAAATACATTTGACCCGGGAATCCCACTCCTTGGAATTTACCCAAAGAATACAACTTCTCAGATTCAAAAAGACATATGCACCCCTATGTTTATCACAGCACTTTTTACAAAGCCAAGATATGGAAGCAACTTAAGTGTCCATCAGTAGATGAATGGATAAAGAAGATGTGGTACATATACACAATGCAATACTATTCAGCCTTAAGAAAGAAACAAATCCTGCCATTTGCAACAACGTGGATGGAGCTGGAGGACATTATGCTCAGCGAAAGAAGCCAGGCGGAGAAAGACAAATGCCAAATGATATCCCTCATTTGCGGAGTATAACAATGAAGCAAAACTGAAGGAACAAAATAGCAGCAGACTCAGAGACTCCAAGAATGAACTAGTGGTTACCAAAGAGGAGGGGTGTGGATGGTGGGTGGGGAGAGAGGGAGAAGGGCACTGAGGGGTATTATGTTTAGTACACATGGTGTGGGGGATCATGGGAGAGCAGTGTATCACAGAGAAGGGACATAGTGGATCTCTGGCAACTTGCTGTACTGAGGGACTGTGCCTGCATTGGGGTGGGGGTGGGGACTTGATAATATGGGTAAATGTAGTAACCACATTGTTTTTTTCATGTGAAACCTTCGTAAGAGTGTACCTTAATAAAAAAGAAAAAAGAAAAAGGTTTGGAGGAAATGCCATACCATTTTCCAGAGTGGCTGCAACATTTTTACATTCCATCAATGTACAAGATCCAATTTCTCCACATCCTGGGCAACATTTATATTTTTAAAAAATTATTTCATAATAGCCACGCAGATGGGTGTAAAGATTCTCATTGTGATTTTGATTTGTATTTCTTAATGATTAGGGATGTTGAGCATCTTTTCATGTGCTTATTGGTCATTCTTCTATAGAGAAATGTCTACTTAAGTCCTTTGTCCATTTTACAATTTGGTTGTTTGTTTTTATTATTACTGAGTTATAGGAGTTCTTTATATATTTTTGGATATTGATCTCTTATCAAATATATGATATGCAAATATTTTCTCTTATACCATGGTTGTATTTTCTTTCTGTCAATAGTGTCCTTTGATTCACAAAAGGTTTTAATTTTGATGAAGTCCAGTCTATCTACTTTCTGGCTTTACAGTTTTCTTCAACAAATAGTAATTTTTATTCTTATCCCTTCTTTGTTTTAGCAGGAAAAGGAGGTGGAGGAAGAAGGAAATAAAAGGAGACAAAAGGGGTTGGAAATATATTTGGGCTTATGCAATGGAGAAGGAGTTGAAGTTAACAACAATATATTCAATAATAAACACTCATTTACTATCTCTTGTATTCCAGATACTGCATTTAGAACTGGAGATATAAAGTGAATATGGAGATCTCTTAATTAGTGGGAGGACAATCAGAAGAAGGTATTTTCAACAAAATGGGATGCTGTAAAATTACATATGCCATGGACTATGGTTGTAGAATTGAGGTAGATGCCATTAGATGCCTAGGGGATTCAGAGAAATCTTTATAGAGGAAGAATCTAGAAGGACAGTAGGAAATGCCTGGCTAGGAAAGGTGGGTAGGGGCAACTAGTAGAAGGAGCAGCATGCACAAACAAGTATAGGCACACAACGCCTAATTAATGAAAGGCAAATAATTTCCTGTGGCTGGATATGGGGAAAATGGTGAGGAGATACAGGAAATGTGGGAGGTAGTTAGGCTGGGGTCTGATTGTGGAATCTTCAGTGGTAGGACAAAGAATTTGGAACTTTATATTATAGGCAATGGGGAGTCATGAATAAAACTTTTTTTTCCTGTTTTTCAGAATAATCCATGTTTACTATAAAACACTGGGGAACACAAAGAAATCCACTGGGAATATCAAGTATTTCTATGTAGGGAGGATCTAATAACATACCTATACCAGTGTGCTTTGGAAATACAATTCTGGTGATACTGAGTGAGGGGAGAGACTGGAGGACAGAAGAGGGGTTCAGAGGTTATTGCATTAATACCTATGAGAGAGGGAGGTCTGAGGAAAGACAGTAGGCAGTGGGGATGGAGAAGCGGGAAAGAGACATTTCTGAGGGGAAATTTAACAGAACTTAGTGACTGGATGTGGGAGGAAAGAAAGAGGGGAAAGCATAGGTGACCCTGAAATTTCTGGTTCAAGAGAATGAAATTGACCAGGCTAGTTGACCTGATTAGTTAGCTATGACTTAGCAAAGAGTAAAGTCCTGAGATAATGGGAGATGGGCAACTAAACGTTAAGGAGTTAGTGTTTATACAAAGGTCTGGGACAAGGGATCCAAAAAGAGCAGTTTTCTTTAGGAGTCTGGAACTCGGTATTCTCTGCTTATGAGTTACATTGAAATGTAAAAACTCTGTGAGGTATTTTGGGACCCAAGGATTAATTAGACAATACTAGGAAAATTAATATAAAAACTATTCTACTGTTAATGAGAAATGGATCTCTAAACTTTCTTAAAAACATGTATTTGCTAAATTTAGTTCGGTATATGGGGCTTATTCTATAATTCTCTTTACTATTGTGTATAATGACTTTTTTCATAATAAAAAAGTTCTAAAAAAATTGTAGGTAACTATCAAGTAGTAGAGTATAAAAAAATCTCTTCATCTATTCATTTATCAAACATTTATTGAGTGTCAACTATGTGCTAGCACTGTGCTAGCCCATATGGGGAATATAAAGATCATTTTTTATCTTTCTGATAAGGGGCTATCAGAAAGATAAAAAATAATGTGTAGAAGGAATTAAGAGCTAGGAAGGACTCCCAGCTGGTATGACCTGCACAATTTATTGGGGAGATCACAGGGAATGAATTTCTAATGGGCCCATAGGGATGCTCTCAATCTTTAATTTAAAGAGGTACTAAGATGCCACATTTTTCTGTGGGGGTCCTGCCAATGTCCAGTTTCTTAGCGGAGGTTGTTAAGAATGTTCAACTGTCAGAGAGGAGAGGCTAAGAGTACGTTTCATTTGCTGTCTTTGCTTTAAAAGTTTGGTTTGGACTGGAGCATTAGATATGTCCTTGATTCCAAGAAAGACTTCAATACTGCAAAAATGGAAAAGCTTTTTAAAAGGGTAATTGTGACTCCAAACCTACCATGGAATGATTTCAGTTACTTTCTAGGATAAGCCTATGACCTAGGCTTTTAACCTAGGTCCTTTTAACCTACTCATTCCTTTTAACCTACTCAAGTTTTTAATTTTTAAGGGTCAGAAAACCCATAGTAATGACAGCTTGCCTGTCTCCGGGTAACTTGTGTTAAAAAAAAAAGCAACAACAGGCCCAAGATGGAGTCACTTGTGCTAACCCTCAGGTCAAACCAAGACTTAATACCTAACCTAATTGCAGTTTCAGCCTTTCTCAGGAATGTGACCTTTAACCTGTCAGTTTGGAATAACCTGGTCAGCACTAGTGAGCTAATCTGCCTGATAGACCCCTCAAACTTCCCCCAGAGTGGCCCTGCATGAAACAATCTACTTTGCTAGGAACTTCTTTTTTCTTCCTCCTTCTGCCTATAAAAGCCTTCTTCTGTATTGTACAGTTCCTTGGAGCTCCTTTCTCATTGATGGGATACTGCCCCATTCATGAATCATTGAATAAAGCCAATTAGATCTTCAAATTTACTCAGTTGAATTTTATTTTCTAACATTTGGTTTAACCTATGGGTTTGTTTTCTCATCAGCAATAACTGTCTGGCCAATTTCACAGTCATTGAGGGACCAAACAAGGTAACAGACAAATGCTCTTCGAAAAGTATAAAAGCACTACATATAAGTGAACCATCAAATGAATTTGGTAAATAAAAAATTTCCTAATACCCAGCCTTCACTTTGTTGACTGTTCAACTCCCTGTTTATCTACATGTCCCTCTTGCTTTTCTGAGAGTTAGTGTGTATAAAGGATAGCATTCTCCAAAATGGGAAAAATGAGGATTTCCCTTAAGGACATGTTTTGAAGGTGTGTCCCCGTCAACACTTATTGAACTCCAAGTTAGAGTAGGAGCTGGAGGTACACAGATGAATAAACAGGGCCTTCAGGAGCTTACCTGTCCATCACGACTAGGTAACATTCCCAGTGTTAACACACTTCCTGCTAAGAGGATGGGAGCTATCGCCTACTTGGAAGACTGCACTAGCCGCAGACAAGCAGGAGGGGGCAGAGAAGGCCCCAGTTCGGCTCTGGAGGCCAACGGGCCGAATGGAAGCTCCCGCGTCACTTTCCAGTCTGCGACTTGGACAGTAGCCCTTCTGTCATTCCCCTTTCTTGGAACCCAGGGAAGATAAAAGATCCTTTTCTACTACCATAGTAGATATATCCCAAGTCACGATTTCTGACTCGCAGCGCTTTGGCCCCCATTCCCTGTGAAGGACTCACTGCGCCCTCCAGCGGCAGAAAGACGGGAGAACCCCAGAGAGTCGCCCCAAAGCGCAGGACACCATGCAGTCCTCCTTAAGAAACTATCTGTCCCCCTGGCCCCGCCCCTTCACGAAGTCCCGTCCCCGACGCGACCTCGATTTGTGGCACCGATTGGTTGGTTTCTGTGCGTGCACACGTTGCGTGCGGGGCGGAGCGGAGGAGCGTTGTCCGTAAGGGCCTTAGTCCGCTGTCCTCGGCAGCCACCCACGCTCCTGAGCTGTGTCCGCCCCTTGCCTGCCTTTAGAAGGAGCAGGCAGCAGCCCAGGCTTCTGGTGGTCGCGCAGCAATCAGGCGAATTTGCTGAGCTGCTCTCTCTAGCTAGAGGCTCTTCTCGGCCAGGTCCAGGTCGGGGGGAAAATGGCGCCGGCACCCCAAGGCGCCCGGGAGGAGCCGCCGCTGGAGTGTCGCTGCAGACCGCTTTCCCGGCTCCTTTTCCTCGCCCAGGCCGTTCTTCTCCTGCTGCCGGCCGCCCGGGCAGGGCTCTGCCCGGCGCCGTGCTCTTGCCGCACTCCGCTGCTGGACTGCAGTCGCAGGAAGTTACCGACGCTGAGCCGGAGGGCGCTGTTGAGCCCGCTGCCTCCCGACGCCGCCAGCCTGTGAGTAGAGTTGCCAAGCGAGGGGACCAAAGGACAGGGAGCTTCCCCTTCAAGGGGGACGGGAGGGAGGCAGGCTTGGTCGGAGGGCGCTGTCGGGAGCTTGAGTTCTAAAGAGAAGTGTCATTACGGTGTTGTGAACTTTTTTGGGGGGTGGCAGGAGCCTCAAAAACCCGGTGTTAAGGTTCTGGAGACTTACAGAAAGTCTAGAATAATACCCTCGGCCAGGGAGTCTGGTATTCCTGGGCTAGGGAGGAGTTGGGGTGGAGATATTGTTGAAGGCACACTGGCCCTGGGCACCGGTACTGACTAGATTGTTGGGGTTCCTCGCCCACTTTGGGCTGCTTCATCCGGTATGTGCTTCAGTTTGAATGGTCTCCAGGCGCGTGATTTTATGACCATGATTATTAAAGGTACATGAATTGTCTTTTGTCCCCAGTTTGCATTTTGGCTTAGTTGGTACTGTAGTTTTGATACTTAACGGTGTTAAAACCCCATGTATCAGGAGATCCAGTACTACCCTGAACAAATTATCTTTATAATTAGCATTCTGGATCTAATTTAGAATTCACTGTAAAGAAGGGGAGTATTCTTTCCAAAATCATGTGATGCTTTGTTTTCAGTGCATTTCCTTGTGGCAAAGAACCTAAAAATCAGTCCTCTTTGTTTATGTATGAGAAGCAAGTACAATGGTTGGATGAATTCTTCTGGAGACTCCACTACTGAATGTTCATCTTGGCAGGCCTGTGTTAGACAGTGGCACCTGGAGAGCTCATTAGTCTGAGTCAGCCTGGTGGCATTAGAAGCAACAGTAGGTATTAAATGCTGCAATTATGGGGCTTCTTAACCACTAACGTACAGTTATTTCTCTGCTGCTAACTGAGCAACATGTTTATTAATTGACAGACTTCTAACAAAGTCATCTCTAAAAACCAGTTGTCACACAAACAAAGAATAGCTTCAGGTACTATTAAAATATGAGGGGCTGGTTGGATTTTCCTTGGAAATAGAATACAAATAGAAGGTCTGCTGAAGGATATATAGGAAAGAAAGATCCCTCATAAATTCCTTGAGAAAATTAAGGTAATTTAAATACCCAAATGTTGTAGTAACATAAATCTGCAATAAAATCGGCCTTCTGTTGTTTTGTGATAGTGACACCTGTAGTGATTTCTGGTTCTGTTGACACAAAATTTGAAAATCCATATCAGTGAACAGCGTAGTGTGAGTTAAACCTAGCACAGCATCTTTGTAATGCAAGTGCTTTTTTCTAAGAAATTTCTTGAAACTGCCTCCTGATTATGACAATAAATCTGGTACAGGTTTAAAAACAGCACAACTTCGTTTAGCTGTTACTGAAATCAGTGTGGCCTTCGTTTTAAGATCCTTCATTGGTAGGTAAACAGTGATTAGGAATAGTTCTATGTTAAGATACATTTATTTTGTGTCTAGGTTTGAGTTTTGTTTAATCAAGACACATCGCCTAAGGCCAAATGACATTAAAAAAATTTTAATGTCCTATAATGAAATTGACATTTTCAGTTGAAGTGAAATGCCTCAGAGAGCAATTCTGTTGTAATCCAGATGTAATTGGATGGACGTCTTACATTAGCAGAACTCTTAGAATATTAAAAGATGGGATTGTGCTGTTGTAAAATGA